CAATGTAACTAGGGTTTATGTGTTCCCCACAGGTTCATAAGTTGATAATTCTAACTATAACAATTCTTTCCTAGTATCTTGCATGCAAAGTGATAAGTTATGTATTTCTAAATCCTTGGTCCGGCATCTAGAAAATTTCACTCCGCACCATGGTCCGGCTACGTGTGTTGCTATACTAACCCTTACCTTTACCTCATATTAAGCATCATATTCGATATTTGACTAAGTTATTACCTCGTACCAATCAATACTAGCCTATTAGATAGTATACACTAAATCTTGTTGATAATTCTTTTCCTATTATCTACGTACTTGGCCTGGCAGGTAGCATTATGATGAAATCTAACGTTGGCCATACGTTAAAGATACTTCTAAGCGAAAGAATTATCAATACATGCAAGACACTATTCTAGAATTGTTATTTTAGTTAGGTTTTGCCTCATTATTCACCTATGGTTCCCACAACCCTAGTTATGGAGTTTAGTTACCCATAATCATAATCACAATATTCAAATAGGTAATATAAGAATTCATGCACTTACTTCAATGAGAAAGAATAAAATCCAAAAGTTCACTTGATTAATCAACAAAAGTCACCAATAATCATTACTGAAATTAATTGAAGACTAAAGATTCTCCAAAAGTGTAACAATAATTACCAAATCTAATCCACAAAAGAAGCTCAAATAATCAAGAGTCTAACCCTAAAAACGAGGTTTTTTAACTATTTATAAAAAATAAAAACCTAATTAAATAAGGATTCTATTTGCTGGAAATCTGTAAAAACGCGGCTGGGTCGACGGACCTCGCAACGGATCGTCGTGGTCACGACGGGCCGTTATGGACTCCGTTGTCCCATACTTGTGCAATTTCTTCTGTTGCTCTCTTCATTAACCTCGACGGCTGGTATGACGGATCGTCATAGGCACAACGGTCCGTCGAGGGTCTCCGTTTCAAAACACTTGAACTCTTGAAATTAGGGTACTGAGACTACTTCTCTGATGTTCATGACGAACTAGCAGGACGGACCGTCATGGCTACGATGGTCCATCACGCACTCCGTAACCCCACACTTGGTCAGAATTTCCCATCTTCCTTAAGCAGCTGCACTACGATGCCACCTACGGACCGTCACGAGCACGACGAACGTCACAAGCTCCATAGGTGGTACTTTTCTGTATTTCTTGCTCAAAACCTCCGCATTCATCTTTTAGACAGATTTCTTGCAAATAAAGAGAAACTTACATAAAAATTAGTACAAAAAGGCTTTTGGACACACTAAACTTAAGGAAAAATTATTTAAAATACCGTGAAACCATGGTATATCAGATATTATGTTTTTTAAAATAATGTATTTAATATTAGAACACACACATAATAATTTATTTTGGCAAAACACATAAGCGGCTCCTTGCACTTGTCAAAATTTTCCGTATAAACACCTTAACAAGAGCTCCTTCCTATTGAACACTTAAACCACTTAAAAAGTGTACCTATCAAAAACACTTTGTTGACTTGACACCTGTTGTTTGAAGCATTTATTTTAAGATGGAGCGCGTGACATTACACACCTCCTACGTGGAAAATCTAATCTATGTGGTAATACACATAACAAAACACCGAACACCTCAGTCATTTCCCTAAATCCCCAAAATTCATTTTGAATAAACCCTAGATTTTCTTTCACGATTCCCGTTAAATGTGGTCGATTCTCTAAGTAAACCTTGCAGTCATCTTTTGAATCTTCATGTATTCTTCTTATGCGTGCTCGATTGAAGAAAATAATTGTTATTGTTGTGTTCTACGGCTGATTCGAGAAAGCTAAGGCATTTGAAGAAGTTAAAATCGACAAATTGGATAATTCTTTTATTGTGAAGAAGATAAATGAAGAAATATTTTAATTTTCGACAACAATGGTGAGATATGGAGAAGAAAGAGATGAGAAATAAAACAAGTGGGAAAATCTAGGGTTGGATAAATAAAAGGGAAAGATTTGGACCGTTAAGTGTGCCAATCTGACACATCACTTTTTTTTTTCACTTTACCCGCTCAAAAGGCGTGCCTAAACGACAGGTGACAAGTCAGTCAGGTGTGTTTGATAGGTACACTTGTTGAGTGGTTTAAGTGTTCAATAGGAAGGAGCTCTTGTTAAGGTGTCTATACGAAAAATCTTGACAAATTTAAGAGGCCACTTATGTGTTCTGCCAATTATTTTTATATCTGTTCATTATTTATCAACCAAATGGGCCAATTATTTTTATATCTGTTCATTATTTATCAACCAAATGCACATATACTTACCTTTTTAAAAGGTATAACTTAAATTTTATATTTTACTTCTAGGGTCGTTTGGATGAATATAAAAGAGTCAATCCCAATTTTAAATAAATACTTTCCCCGTCCGATATTGTTTGTCATAATTTCTATTTTTAGAGTCAAATTATATAAACTCTGACTAATATTTTAAGATGTATTTTTTCATCATATTAATATGAAAAAAAATTGCAATTTATAGTACTTTTCATATAGTTTTAGAATATCTAATTTTTTTTTGTTTAAAATATCGAATTAATATGGTCTAATTTAACTTTGAATATTAATCAAATTGACTTTCGAAAAGCGCAATATGACAAATAATTCCGGACTGAAAGAGTAGTATTTACTGATGATATTAAAAATACCCACGTCAAATTGTGTGATAATTTATATATAATTCTATTCGGTAATTAAAAAAAATCTATGGATCATATAATTTAACGACAAAAATACTCAATAATTAATTCAAATATAATAATTTTTAGTATTATTTATCATCACCTAAATAATTTGTGCTGTATAACCTTCCACATAATTAGTATATGAATTAAACGATCTCTTAATGATGTGCTCTTTTAGTGATATAGCATATTTAAGTCACGAAATCTCGTACTTTCTCCAATTTAAAATAATGGTCTAATTTAATTTTATATAAAATTTAAAATAATAGAAATATTTTTTATGCTTATTATCCTAAATTTAAGTTATTACATGTATATATACTAAATACTTTGTACTTTTATGATCTTAAATATGTGATAATAAAAATTAAAATTAAAGTGTTATAAAAAAGAAAATAAGTCATTTTTTTTTATTCTTTTTGAAAAGAAAAAAAGTAATAATTTTAATTTGTACTAGAACATTTCATTTTTTTTTTATGTCCATATAAAAAACTTAGAACCATCAATAAAGACTAGACCCGTTGGGTCGATCTAGTCTAACTTAGCCAGTCTTGAATAAGTCATTGATTTATGGGGCTTGAGAAATATAGATAGGATTGGCCCGCGGATTAATAAAAAATAATTAAAAAATATAATATAATATTAAAATTTAAAATTAAACAAATTCAAAACTCAAAACAATTTGATTAATATTTTTATTTAGATATTTATACTTTTACTTGAAAAAAATTTAATAAATATCATAAAGATAATTTTATTTGTAGATTTGGTTACAACGGAGTAATATTAACATCGTGTAACATTGTTTTGTCGATATTTATGATAACAATTTTAAATTATAATTTATAATTTAATTTAGTAATTATAAAATAATATAAATTTTAAAAAAATGAAGTTACATGATAAACCTTTAACTCACATACTTGTAAGTTGGGTCGATCACTTTCTCGCTTTCTGGCCTACATAAAAAATAAACTAGCCCAACTTAACCCATAAAATATCAAAGCTTATATGAATTAATCTGAATGTATGGGGTAGCCCATATTGATAACTCTAAAAAGAAAAAATATATTATTATTCGTGAGATGAAAGAAAAAACCTCGAACCACAAGAGTTCATTATAATTTAATGCTCATTATATCGCATAATATAAAATAATAAATAAATATATTTTCATAAGAAAATCTTTTACTGCACTAATTATTGTTAGTATTACTATAACCAAAGTGAAACATTTACCAGATGCAAAAATATTCAAGAACAATCTTATTATGATTAAAGTAATCAAATAAGTATTTCTTTTTTGAAAGAGCATAAAATTTTCTAAAAACATCTAATACTATTTAAAGAATGAGAAGGCGTTTGGTTATGATAATTTATCATCTTTTTGTCGTTGAATTTCGGAAATTACTCTTTTAACATTTTATTAATGCCCCATAAATAGGGACATAGAAAATAATTTATATTATCTGGAACTATATAAAAATTATTATAAAACATAATAATCAATAATAAAAATTTAGAGAACTTAATTCTTTAAGTGATTTTCGAAATTTTATTATGTCATATAAATTAGGATAAATAAAGTAAAATATATTATTTAAAAAATTACATAAAAAATATTATAAATCATGATAATTAATAAATTAAAATATAGAAAAAAATTAATTGACTCTCGAAATTTTATAATTAGAACAGGGGAATACATATATACTTTGAAAATAACGTCATACTTTAAAAAGCCAATAACTAACAATTTAAAATTTAAAAGACACATTAAAATTTAATTAGCTCAAGAAACTTTATGGGATATAAAAATAATATAATATATAATTTTCTTTTAAAAAAACATAAAAAGTATTCTAAAATGCAATATTTAACAATTCAAATAATAATCAAAAATTAATTTTAATCTATCTTTATATCACATAAATTTAAAGGGATGGTAAAAGTGATTTTAATAAATTAATTGACTCTGGAAATTCTATAATTTGAATAGGGGAATACAAATATTCTTTAAAAATAACGTAATACTTTAAAAAGCAAATAACTATCAATTTAAAATTTAAAAAACACATAAAAATTTAATTAGCTCAAGAAAAATTATGTGTTACGTAAAATTGGGATGTAAAAATAATATAATATATAATTTTCTTAAAAAAACATAAGAAGTATTCTAAATGCAATATTTAACAATTCAAATAATAATCCAAAATTAATTTTAATTTATCTTTATTACATAAGTTGAATGGAGACAAGTGTTTTAGCCACAGAGAATACAATGCCACTACTCAGCTCAATAAACTATTTTTTTCTTTTATTTTCCCCAGAAAAACAAAATAGGCTTTTCATTAAGCTTGACAAAATTGACACTCAAACCAGCCATAGCGATAGGAGAGAAGTACGGCGATAATGGAGTTATCAGTCTTGTTGCTTCAGCTTCCGGAAATTAGACGCATGTTAGCTTCGTTCTGCTACTAGAATTCTCAATGGGTACGTAATTCTATTTTTTGTTAAATTGTGTTGCTACAACAATCGTTAAAAGGTACGCAGTTCTATGTGGTAGCTTACTTCTCTTTTTTTTTTGAATTTTATTTGTCATGGAGTACATATTTGATTGCTTTCATGTGTCTTTTATTTTAATAGGGCACAAAATTTTAGAAGGTGAATGAATTTGTTATTAAATTAAATGAATATTTAAACAAACTAAAATATAAGACATATCAATTGAGGTGTACGCCCAGCATTCATTAGGGGCGATTAGAGACTTTTATGATAGAGTTGAAGTACAGTGGGAAGAGACTTGAAACATTTTGAAGTCGTGATGAGGTTGCACCGAAGATCGACTTTTGGGTCATTTTATTAGTTTTGGTGATGGATGAATTAACACAACATATTCTAAGGGAAGTGCAATGGTGTATGACATTCGCAGAAGACGTATTGATCAATGAGACATGCGATGAAATTGGATATGCTCGAACCATACCGCATCTCGATTTACACATAGATAATCTACTGTATTACTCAAAAGAGTCATACTCATAAATAATTGACGATAAGTTGGAGGTTTGGCGACAAATCCTAAAGTCTAAAGGGTTTAAAGTTGTGACTTATTTTAGTGTTTCTACACCAAAATAAACTCTTAAGCACTTTTAAAGTGTTTGAGTAAATTTACAAAGTGCTTATAAGTACTTGATTTTAAGCTAAAATGGTAAAAATAATCCAAAAGTCATAAGTTAGAATTTTTAGCTTATGACTTTTGGCTTGTAAGTTAAAAGTCAAAAGTCAATCCAAACAGACTCATGACAAAGAACACGAGTAGCAAGTTCAACAACATAACTCATGAAGCATATATTAAAGTGAGGATTGATACACAATTCATCTCAAGTGAGTAAGTTTCATTTATGTTAGGTCAATAATAAAAAAAAGTGGGGAGATTGACAATGATGTTACACATTATATTCGAGTTGGGTGGATGAAATGAAAACTCAGATTCTATGTTTTCTAAGATAATAATGTCCCACCAAGATTTAATGGTATGTTTTATAGAGCGGTTGTCAGACCAACTTTGTTGTATCATACGAAGTGTGGACCAATTAATAACTCGCGCATTCAAAAGATGAAAGTAATGAAAATGACGACGTTGAGATATAGTGTGAGCATATTTAAAAAAGAATAGTTAGGATTGAATATACTTGTGATTTGGTGATAATGGCCTCTACGGTGAACAAGATGGAAGTGAAGGTTGAGATGGTTTAAGCATGTGAAGAAGAGTTGCATTTCAATGAGCAAGTGTGAGAGGTTGACTATGGTTGATCTGAGAGAGAGAGGTGGACTGAAGAAGTATTGCAAAGAGATAATTAGACTAGACATGAGAATCTTGTAGCTTACCAAGGAGATAACCCTAAACAGGAGGATATATAGGTCAAAGATTCTAATAGAAAATTAGTAGGTACTCGAGCATTGTATATTTTACACGATCCATATAATTATTACTTGTTATTTCCTTTTACGTTATCGTATTATTTATTGTTGATGCTATTTCTTTTTCCATTACTTTCAACATGACTTCTTTATTATTGTATTTTCTTTTCATACATCTTTTGATATGACTTACCTTAGCTGAGGATTAATCGAAAGTAAAATTTTTATGAGATAGAGTAAGGTTGCTTACACATCACCTTCTCTTGGCCTTACTTATGAGACTATACTAGATATGTTATAATTGTTTTTGTACACTTGAACACTAGGAATTGTGGGGGATATTCCCCCCCCCCCCCCCCCCCGGCACACAAATTTTATTAGCTTACCTCCATTGTAGATTCCAAACCCGGATAAAGGGGAAGATTACTAGTAGGCTAGCTTCCACCATAAAACTAACCAATTTCAATTAGAAACTCTCATATAATAGAAATCATTAACTTGCTCACTTAGGCACGCGTTACATTCACCGAAGTGATGAGAAATAAATAAGGGGTTTCATCACATTGTTTCCTAGTTGTGAGAGATTAAGACAAGGGTTCTATCAGGAACGAGTGTGGTGGGAAAGAAGTTAGTCTTATCTCATCAACATCTAAATATTGTGTAAAGTTGAAAGGCCACACATTTGGATGGGTGTGGATAAATAAAGCAATCCGATCACATCAACATTGTGATGTAGTGCAAATTAAGAAACGATTATCGTATTGTGAATGTGTTATGGATCTTAGGGGAAGTATCGATTCACAGAGCCATATATAAATCAGCACGTTAAAGGAGGCTGAAACCTTAAAATTCATTAGAAGAGCGCTCTGATCTCTTGTTTGTTGAATTATGACTTACTGATTTATTCATCAAAAGCCCCTTTAAATAGGAGTCTTATTACATTAATAGAAAATCTAATTCTTATGTAAGTAGGAGACCTAAATCTTATTCTAAACTAATAACTATAACTTAACATCATCCTTATAAAACTATGAAATATAAACCCTATTCTAGAATAATAAATAAAGTTACTAAATAAATAATTAAATACTTAAATTAATGACTTCCAACGCATCCCTAATATTATACCCCCTCCCTTACGTTGAAAGAACTTTTCCTCAAGCTCAATTTTCCAATTGCAGCCTAGCTTGATGTTGACGTTGATAAATTTCACCTCTATTAATTTGCTGAAGCTTGACTAATTCTCCTATATAGTTGCCATATTCATGAGATCCAAATCGCTCAAGAAATTGTTCACAACGATATGCCCAAATTAATGAGTTGTTGATATCATTAAAAGTAGGAAAATTCATCTTTGCATAACTTGGTATTGTCGAATTGGAATTACCACTAGTTTGATGATTATGATCAACTGGTTGAATATGCAGTGTATTGCTTCTAGGAGCTGGATTTTTTGATTTACCAATTGTCTGGGCATTACTTGATTCTTCCCCATGGTCTAATGGTTTTTGCAGAGCCAATTCCTAGGCTAGAAAATTATTGTCGTATGACCTGGACAATTCTATTAGAGAGATGTTGTTCTATAGCTGCACGTTTAGAGTCTATTAGTATTTCTGTAATCACATGTTCTTCTTGAAACCTGGTATTGATCTCATGACACATTGTGTTAGGATCTGATACCAAATTGTTATGGATCTTAGGGTAAGAATTGTTCACAGGGCGAAATACAAAATCAGCTCGTTAAAAGGAGACTGAAACCTTAGAATTCATTAGAAGAGAGAACTCTGATCTCTTGATTTTTGTTGAATTATGAGTAACTCATTTATTCATCAAAAGTCCCTAAAATAGGAGTCTTAAAATATAGTTTTTATGAAAATAGAAGAACTAAATCCTATTCCAAACTAGTATTTATAACTTAACCTCATCCTTATAAAACTATGAAGTATAAATCCTATTCTAGAGTAATAAATAAAGCTACTAAATGAATAATTAAATACTTAAACTAATGACTTCCAACGCATCCCTAACAGAATAGATTAGGATAGTCTTGAAAAGAAAAATTGAGGTAGGTATCTAGAACATAGACTTGACAAAAATTAATGGAAACCTAAACAATAGGAGAGTTAATATTGTATCCTTATTTAAGATTATCTCGTTTACTTTTGATGGTAAAATGGAAAAACCAATTTATTTATTTTTTGAGATGAGGGTAACAGTGTATTTTCAAAATTCTCATCATCAAATAATGATGAGCATAGGTTACTTACAATCTCATCAGAGCATATCAAAACTTACCCCTAGGGAGATTCAATTTGCCTATGAAATCGAGAAAAAGATATATATGCCCCCTTATATTCGATTTACACCAAAAGTATAAAAGTTTAGCGCGATTCATCCTTATCTTCTCGATGTTGTTACTTTTATTCTCAAATCATCTAGCATTTCTTTGTTTCCACAAAGACCACCAAATGCAAACTGATATTAACTCCCACCAGTTTCAGTAGAATGTCTTCTTCCTTTTTTCTTTTAGCAGTCTAGCATAACCTTAGTGGTCTGTGGAGTTACCCAGCCTACACCAAGGACGTAGAAAAACATATTCCATAGGTTGGTAAATGCCTTGCATTGTAGGAACAATTGTCTGTTGACTTCAACATCTTGATCACACATAACACATCTTGAACAAATATGTCTTCCTTTTTTTTCCTGAAATACTTCATGTGTTAGACATGCCCTTAAACACGATATTTTTAGAGGTATTTTTATCTTCCAAATTTGTTTCCAAATTCTATTTCTTTTTTCAGTTTCAAAAAAATTCTGTTTTTTCTTTGACCAACATTTTCACTCCAGTAGCAAGAGTTCATTGTGAACACTTTTGCTGTCTATAATTTCCATATAAGCTTGTTAGGGTCATTAGAGGTGCCTCGGAAGGTTTTTAGGATTGAAATAAAACATTGATTCTCTCTATTTCCCGGTCATTAAGGGCTCTTCTAAACAAGAAATTCTTTCCCCGAGGGATCCACATCGGAGAAATTGTGTCGTTGTTGTGTTGGTTGAGTATAACCAAATCTTGAAATACACATTCTTCTCCAATCTATAAATCTTTTTTCTTTGAAATAGGTAAGTTTGTATTCTTAAGCATTAAGGATATGCTGGCCCATCAAAAAGTTAAACTATAGACTCCCTATCAGATCTATAATCTGATTAGTATTTTCTATACATAATTGTTTACACCAAAAGAGTAAAGATACAATACAATTCCATTTGACTTTATGAATGAGATTGAACCTATCTTCGAAACATCTGACATTTCTCCCCCTCCAAACTGACCACCATATACATGAGGGAATCAATCTTCACCATTCTCCAATCCATAAATCATTTGAGAAATTAAGTTTTCTTCCATTTCCCACCTTAAGTGATATGGTATCCTTAAATTATGGCCATAATCTTCTTATGGTCCTCCACAAACTACACCCAAAAGTTCCAACAAACTCCTCCTCAGTAAACTAATGACCGAGTAGTCCATATTTGTCAATGATGACTCTCTTCCATAGTGATAGCGCTTCAGTGCAAAATCTCCACAACCATTTCTTTAGAAGGCAAGAGTTCTGGTGATTAGATTTTTTATGTCCAATCACCTATGCTTCCTACTAAGAGTAACAATATCCCACTTGACTAGATTGTAACCTCTATTTTCTCTATTTCCATTCAAAAGAAAACATTTTTAAGTTTTTAGATCTTTTTCTCAATGCTCTTTGGAATAGAGAAAAGACCTATCATGTAGGAAGAGTCTAGGACTGACTTGACCATGGTCAATCTCGAGGTAATGATTGTTCCACCTTGCAAGTTTCTCATCACATTTCTCCTAAACATCATTCCACACTCCTATGTCCTGTTTTTGTGCTCTCAAACGAATTCCCAAATACTTTGTGGGAAGAGTAGCTATTTGGCAACAAAGATTGCTACTAGCAAGCCCATGTTACTTGCACGATTTACTGGATAGGGGAAACTCTTTTGCCAATTAACGTGGAGCCCAAAAACACCTTCAAAAGTAGTGAACTACTCTGATGTGTCTAATTTAGGTTGTGTCTAATTTAGGTCACGTCAACCTCACAAAAAATCAAAGAGTCATTTGCATAAAGTAAATGAGTAACCCCCAACTCATTCTCCATATTTCCATGCAGTTGATCTTTAAAACCTATTAACCATCCATTGACATTTGCTTTCGTTATCATTTGGTTGAGGTCTTCCATGATAAGAATGAATAAAAAGAGTGAGAGGAAGTCCCCCTACCTTAAACCCCTTTGGGACGGGAAGAAACCTGTAGAGTTACCATTTATAATTAGTGAGAACTTAACAATAGATATCCATAAGCTTATCTAGTTAATCCACTTCCTTCAAAACCCACGTCCTTCAAGATTTCTAGTAGAAAAGACCAATTAACACGATCATATGCCTTTTTTATATCCACCTTACACAACCAAACCTTTTTTGTTTGACTTTGGAGTTCACCAGCTCATTAGCAACAAGTGAGGCATTCATAATTTGCCTTCCTTTTAGGAAAACCGTTTGATGTACATTAACCTATCTCCTTATTATTGTCTTCAACCTCTCGGTGATTAGTTCGAAAATAATCTTATATACTCCCCCTATTAAGATAATAGGTTTGAAATCTTTTAACTCCCCTGCCCTAGCTTTTTTAGGAATCAATGCTATAAAAGTGGCATTAAAAGCTTTTCCAAATACTTCCTTTTGGTGAAAATTGTGAATGTGGAACATCAAATTTTAATGTTCCCCAACACGACTTGAAGAAACTCACTGTGAAACCATAAAGACCTGAAGCTTTATCTCTATCATATTGTTTTAAGCATCCCAGGACCTCCTTCTTGGTCTTTGCATCCAAGTCTGTTCCTCCTGAATTATAGTTGGACAATCCAAGAAATCAAATCTTGGTTTGCAATTTTCAGATTCAGTGTAGAGCATTCTATAAAAACATAGTGTTTCTGAATTCTATAGGGTCTTGTACAATCTCTCCTTTGTCTGTCAACTTGTCAATGGTGTTGTTCCTCTTGTGTAATGTTACCATTTTTTTGGAAAAACCTTGTATTATTATCCCCGTGTTTCAGCCATAACACTCTGGATTTCTATCTCTACCTTGATTCGTCATTGTTTGCCAACTCTTTCAACTCCACTATATGGTGCCTCTTTATCATCATTTCATCTTCAGTCAAATATCTTGTTCTCGAAAACGCATCAATTTCAGCCAAGATGTTCCAGTAAGTTGTTCTTCTTATTTACTATTTTCCCAAAGTTAGATTTGATCCATTCTTTGAGTTTTTCCTTGAGTATTTTCAGCTTAATATTGAGACTATAGTCTAAACATCATTTCACCTTGAGCCACTAGTTCTCGAACTTGAAGTTTGAACTTTTCTTCTTCCAATGTCCACCTTCTAACATGTTAGGGCAATGATCAGAGATGAATCATGTAGTAGCTTGTTGATTTGTAAATATTTAAATGTGATTTTATATATCTTTTAGGATTTAAATTGATATGATAAAATCATATTTGGTATGGTATTGCATAGGTTATGATATTAGATCAATAAGATCATTCTTGATTCTCAAATCTGCCAGAATCAAGGGATTTGATTGTGAGAAGTTTGGTTTTATATATTTTAAATTTTTATCTCTATGAATGAATAAAAGACTACAACTTTGGTACCAAAACTTACATGGTAGCAGAGCAAATCCATTCTTGTGTTAGTTATGACTAAAACATCATTTACTAGGTTACGTCACTCAGCGACACCAATAGAAGTTAACAAAGCTCCAATGAACCAAGACAACAATTCTTGTCATTTTTCTTTTTAGCTTACTTCTCATGAGATGAATTGGAAAGAATTATTTGGAATGGTCACAATTTTCCGTTTTGAAATTGTTGGCCGAGGAAAACTTGGACACCTGATTGGAGAAACGAGAAAGCCTGAACCAGGAGACCCCAAAATAAACGCCTGGAGATCAGAAAACTTGATGGTATTCACTTGGCTACTAAACTCCATGGATTCTGCCATAGGTAAGCCATATTTGTTTCTTCCCACTGCTAGGGATGTTTGGGAGGCTGTTAGAGACTTATTCTAATTTAATGCCTCTCAGATTTTTGAGTTAAAAATTAAATTGTTGAAAGCTAGATAGTGGGAAGAGATGGTACTATTTATTACAATGAGATGGTTTTCCTATGGCAAGAATTAGATCAATGCTATAATGATGGATGTGACTGTCCTAAGGATAGCGTGAACGCAATGAAAAGGGAAGAAAATGAAAGGGTTTATCTATTTCTAGCTGGGTTAAACCAAGAATTCGATGAGCTTCGCTCTCAAATTCTTGAAAAAAAACCACTACCCACCTTGAGGGGAACTTTTTCTGAGATTAGGCGAGAAGAAACAAGGAGGAATGTTATTCTAAAAATAGATCCCAATTTGGAAACTAAAAATAAACATTTTTCTTCTCTAGTTGTTGCGAAAAATGAAAATGACAGGTTAAAGAAGCCATGGTGTGATTTTGCAAAAAATATTGGCACACCTGTGAGACTTGTTGGGAAATCCATGGGAAACCGTCTAATTTGAATATATAATAGGAACAATAGGAATTTCAAAAAGGTAGAAAACCATGGAAACCATGTCTTTCAATGTAACAACAAAGAATCAGGGATGAAATATTCTCTCGAAATGCCACCATTCACCAAGGAACAATTGGAGCTACTGCACAAAATTCTCCAATCTCAACCAAATCAATAAACCTGATCCTCCTACTTGTTCTTTTTCCCAAGAAGGTAATGTACCTTTAGTTTTTTTGAGTACAAATTCTACTGGTATTAGTTCTTGGATCATAGATTCAGGGACAAGTGATCACATGACATGGAATTCCCATTTTTTCTCGACTTACATTCTATCGCAGGAAATAAAAAAGTCAGTTGCTGATGGTTCCTTCTCATCAATTGTTGGAAAAGAGAAGTCAAAATTAACCCCTTTTTTGACTCTTGTTGATGTCCTTCGTGTTCCAAAATTGTCTCATAATCTTTTTTCCATTAGCAAATTGACTCAAAACCTTAATTATCGTGCTATCTTTGACTCTATTTCATGTGTATTTCAGGGTAAGGTCTCAGGAAGGATGATTGGCAATGCTAGAGAGTTTGAAGGTTGCTATTTTCTTGAAGATGGTGATAATTCAATAAATCTAAGTTCAACTTGTTTGAACACTGTTCTAGTTGATAATAAAAACATGTTATGGCACAATAGACTTGGTCATCCTAGTTTTCATTATTTGCAACTCTTGTTACCCCAGTTGTTTATGAATAAAAGTGCATCCTCCTTTGAGTGTGAAATTTGTGAAATGGCTAAACATAGACGTTCATCTTTTTCTTCCAAAAATATCATGCAACAAAACCTTTTAAGTTGATCCATAATGATGTTTGGGGACCTTCTAAGGGAGCAAATGTAAATGGAAAAAGATGGTTTGTAAGTTTCATTGATGATCACACTATACTAACATGGGTGTACCCACTGAAAGACAAAGGGGAAGTAAAACATATGTTTGAGGCTTTATATGTTATGGTAGAGACATAATTTTAAAAGAATATTTAAATATTTCGGAGTGATAATGGTAGAGCGTTTTTCAATGACAAACTAGGTAGTTTTTCACTTCTAAGGGAATAGTACCAAAGTTCATGTCCGAATACACCCCAACAAAATGGAGTAGCTTAGAGAAAAAATAGGCATCTTATGTAAGTAACTAGAGCCTTAATGTTTTCAAGTGAAGTCCCTAAATTTCTTTAGGGAGAAGCTCTTCTAACATCCACCCGTCTTATTAATATGCCTTCCCATGTTCTAGGTTTTAAAACCCTTTTCAGTACGTTTAAGACATATTATCCTAATTCTAGATTGACTCCTAATTCTAGATTGACTGCTGGCCTATCCTTGAGAGTCTTTAGGTGTAGTGTATTTGATCATATTCATGATCATTATAGGAGTAAACTTGACCCACTTGCTAAGAAATGTGTTTTTGTTGGCTACGCCCCTAGTCAAAAGGGATACAACTGTTATGACCAAATACTAGGAAGGTTATTGTCACAATGGATGCCACATTTTTTGAATCTCAATGGTTTTTTTGAACTCATCTTCAACGAAGAAACATAGAGAAGATTCGAGGGATAATAAGGATCCTCTTGACCTTTCATGTAACAAAAAAATTATCTAAGTTTCATGATAGATAGGGGAACTAGTATTTTTTGTACTAACCTAGATAAGGTAAGAGATCCCAACTTAAATATTGGAAATAAGAAAACAGAGACAATACAACTTAGTCATGATACAATAAATGACAAGAACAGGGAACAAACAAAGGAATTACAGGTTTACATGAAAAGAACCAAAACCAAGAAAAAGAGATCAAGGACTCTCGTCAGAACCAAATTTCCACCCCTCAAGATCTCACGGATACACAACGTAATTCTATAGAACCTAATTGTGATTTGCCCCTTGTTACTTTAGACCTTGATATTCCAATTGCCAAGCGTAAAGGGGTAGGAAAAGTCACTAACCATCCCATGTAAAATTGTGTCATATAGAAACTTGTCCCTTTCCTATATAACCTTCCTTTCTGAATTATCTGGAATGGAGATATCGAGAAATGTATAGGATGATTTGAATGTTCCCAAGTGGAAAAGGCAATTCTAGAGGAGATGGATGCTTTTGATAGAAATGAAACCTGGTAAGGTGGAACTGCCACGTGGAAAGAAAACAGTGGGTTGCAAATGGGTGTTCACAATCAAATTTAAATCAGATGGGTCCGTGGAGAGGTATAAGACAAATTTGGTAGCAAAAGGGTTCACTCATACCTATGAGATTGACTATCTTAAGACATTCGCTCTAGTTGCGAAGTTGAATTCAATCAGGGTTCTCCTGACCATTGTTGCCAATCTTGATTGGACCCTTCAACAACTAGATGTCAAGAATGCATTACTGAACGCAAGTACGGAACACTTGAAGAAGAAGTCTACATGAGTCCTCCTCCGGGTTTTGAAGAGAGTATGGAACTAAAGTGTGCAAGCTAAAGAAATCTCTCTACGGGCTCAAACAATCTCCAAGAGCTTGGTTTGAGAGATTTACTCAGTTTGTAAAAAAACAAGGGTACACTCAAGGGCAAACAATCATGCCTTGTTCATCAGACACTCTGTTGAGGGAAAGACAACTATTCTAATAGTGTATGTCGATGATGTCATACTTAGCAAAGATGACTTGCCAGAAATGAAAATTTTTAAAAACAGTTGGCCTTAAAGTTCAAGATCAAAGATTTTGGTCAATTGAAATATTTTCTTGGCATGGAAGTATCAAGATCAAAAGAAGGCTCTATGGTGTCACAAAGGAAGCATATACTAGATTTTCTAAAAGAGACACATATGAGTGGTTGTCGTCCAGCTAAAACACTTATTGATCCAAATATGAAATTCGGAAACAAAGAAGGAAATTCAGTTGAGCAAAGACGATATCAGAGACTAGTGGGAGAATTGATCTACTTATCACACACTCGTCCTGATATATCTTTTGTTGTAAGCTTAGTGAGTCAATTTATGCACTCTCCAATGGAAGAGCACCAAGAAGATGTCTACAAAATTCGAAGATATTTGAAAAGTTAACCAGTGAAAGGTTTGTTTTTAAAAAATGGACAAGATAGGGGTATTGAAAGCTTTACAAATGCGGATTGGGTAGGTTCTACTACTGATAGGAGGTCTACATCAAGATATTTTACGTTTATATGGGGAAATCTAGTGAGTTGGAGAAGTAAAAAGCAAAATGTTGTAGCTCGTAAGTGCTGAAGCTGAATATCGATCTATGGCCCATGGGATCTGTGAAATGATTTGGCTCAAGAAGATGATGGAAGAACTAAAAAATTATTTGTATGACCAGTGAAGTTGTACTGTGACAACAAAGTCATAGCTGCCATAAGTATTTCGCACAATCCAGTTCAATGTGACAGAACAAAGCATATTGAAGTGGACAAGCACTTTATAAAAAGAGAAAATTGAAGAAGGAAACGTGTGCATGCCTTTCATCTCAACAAATCAGCAAATTGCGGATATTTTCACAAAAGGCTTGTTTAAACCAAAGTTTGAAATTTTTGTAAGCAAGTTAGGCATGACAAATATTTACATGCCAACTTGATGGGGAGTGTTGATTTGTAAATATCTAAGTGTGATCAGATATGATTTTGTAGGATTTAAATTGATCTTATAAAATCATATCTGATATGCTATTGAATAGGTTAGGATATTAGATCAATACGATCATCCTTGATTCTCAAATCTGCCAGAGTTAAGGGTACTATAAATTTGTATTTCTATGGATGAATAAAAGAGTACAACTTTGGTACCAAAACTTACAGAATTCATTCCACCTTGAGCCACTAGTTCTCGAACTTGAAGTTTGACCTTTTCTTCTTCCAATTTTGACATTCTACCGTGATAATGCAATGATCAGAGATGACTCTAGGTAGTATCTTTTGCTTGATATTTTTGAATTGTTCTTCCCATTCCATAAAGAATAGCAATCTCTCTAGCCTAGCTACACTTGGGTGATTGAGGCTTCCGAATCACGTGGAAACTCCACCATGTAGCTACACTTGAGATTATGGTCATGTAATTCCATCTCATGTATCCAATTGGAGAATTTAGACATAATAAAAGAGGTTCTGTTACACCATTTTCTATGGTTCTAGTGTTAAAATCTCTACATATGACCCAAGGACTATCACAAATGGATTTAACAACAGTTCGTTCCTCCCAGCAAATTAACTTCTCATTCATGGTATGAGGAGCATACGCTCCAGTGAGGTACCAGGTATAGAGATTATGAGTTGAGACAAACTCATAAGTAATGGAATATTGAACAACTTCAACTGTCCCACACCATAAGGGCCCCCACTGGTTCCTACAACTTCCAGGTAACCATAGTTCATCCATCCGCATGATCATAATTGCTTAGCCATTACTTCAACCTCCTTGGTGAGCTTTGTTTATTGAAAACAGTAAACATCTGCTTCCATTTTTGCATTAGACTCTTCACCATTGTTTTCTTTTTTGTTCATTTAACCCCCTTACATTCTATGTCTATTTTTTAGTGCTTATACTCTACAAATTGGATTGAATGTTAAAGATGAAACTAAATTTCGGGAATATATGACACATTGATTCAAGTGACTATGTGCAACGAAAAAATTCTTGATAAAAGTTGTGTAAAGTCGAAAGGCCACACATCTTGGATGGGTGTGGATAAACAAAGCATTCCAATCACATCAATATTTAGATGCAATGCAAACTAAGAAATTATTCTTGTATTGTGAATGGATTAGGATTTTAAAAAAAGCTAGTCTAGAAAGGACAAATTAGGTAGGTAGCTAGAACATAGACTTGACAAAAATTAATGGAAACCCTAAAAAGAGGAGAGTTAATATTGTATGCCTATGGAAAACTAAATGAAATGTGCAAAAGGCTAGAGAGATAGGCAACATAGAATATTGATTATAGTTTTTTCAGATTTATAAAACTAAGAATATTGTTGGTAGTAAGATTATATCGTTTACTCTTGTTGGTAAAATGGAAAAAACAATACTATTAGTGCTTATACTCTACAAATTGGATTTGATGCTAAAGGGAAAACTAAACTTTGGGAAGATATTGACACCTAGATTCAATTGATTCTATGCAACGAACAAATTCTTCATATGGGAGATCTAAATAGGCATGTGGATAATGATAGTTATGATTTTGATCAAGTTCACATGAAATAAGGTTATGACATTAGGAATGATGAAGGAAATGTTGTTAAATGTTAGCTTTAATGTATCATTTAATTGTAGCTAACAAATGTTGTAAGAAGAGATATTCTCACTTAATAGCAGTTAGAGGTAGTGAAAAATTGTCGAATAAAGTTTATTTATACTAGAAGACATGATATAACTAAATATAAAGAGTGTTAAGGTTATACTGGGAGAAACAATAACCATCCAACATGGATTGTTGATCTTGGACGAAAAATGTAGGAGAAAGCGAGAAAAAGACAACCTGTTAGTAATCAATAATTCAATAGTGTACACTGAAGGCGCCAACTAGCTAGCGATTCAAAAAGAATTATAAAAGAAGTAATATGGGACTTTGACGTTGTCATAGATGTCCGATGGAAGGAAATGACATGTTCTATTAAAAAAAGTAGCAAACAAAGTGTAGGGTGTATCTAAAGGTGTAGGACGTTGATCTCAAGATCATGGTGATAGAATGAGGAAGTGGAAGGAGTGAGTTATACTACAGCTAAAAGAAAGTGCTATAGGAAC